TCATACCTCCAGGAGAATAAATATTCATCTTTGACTTGTTTCTCTTTGCTCCTGAAATATTCATAGCTGTTTTGCTTCTTCAAGAAAGTGGAAAAAAGTTTTTCTGAAGCACTTTCTCTGTGATCAGCCAATAGACCATCACAAACAAACCATTCACACCATTCTTATTCTGTTTCATTACTATGCTTTTGTCAGTATAGTAAACCCAACAGTTCTTAGTGTAATATTTTGCCAGACATCTCATCTGTTGTACTAGTTCTTTGTGTTTGTGGCTTTACACATGCACTCGAAAACAAAAGTCTGTAAATCATATACCTTTGCTCAGTGTTATGCATACAATAGCATTGTTTAATTGAGTATTTCCTGCTAATTTTATTTAGGATTTGATGGACGTCTTCATAATGCTCCTGCTGCTGCAGAGGTTCTCCTGAATTCCCACAATTGAGTTATTCTTACATTAAAGGAGAAACCTCATTCTCATTTAAATGGAAATGATGGTGTCCTCATTCCATCAACAAGCTGTAAACAACAGCTCAAAAATGTGCGACCCAGTGCATAAAAACAATGCATGTTAGTAATATTGTGAAATTTGTGATACAGCAAAGCGCATTTCAGTAGAACAACACCGTTTGAAACCAATTTGACAATCAGGAAAAGTCAAATCCCTCCCTAAACTTTTTTTTATTGTTGAATATCCTGGTATAAACATTACATTATGGAAACTTTTTTCATGTTTAACTTAAACTTCTTTAGCAAACATGGCATTGAGAGTTGATAAGTTTGATTTATTTCCATTTTTCAGTTAATTATATTTTTTATTTAATAAATATCATAAAGTTATGTTAATATTTTATATATAATATTAATATATATAAGTACATAATGTTAATATTTATTTATATAATTAATATGCATTAATTTATTAAACATCTTTTAAAAAATCACTGTTATGAATTATTAATATTAACCATAATTAATTCTAAAAAGAAATCCATAAAAATACATCTATAAAAAAAATCATATTGGAAGTCTCTGTTTTTCTTATATTACAATAACAGTTTAAAAATATAAATATATTTTAAATATGTTTTAAAAACGTTTAAAATATAATAAATATTTTTTAATATTTAAAAAAATATATTTAGATAATTATTGCCATTGATTTCAGGCATGCATAGTTACACTGATGAATATAAGCTAAACTTATTAACTACACTGAGAAAAAAAAACTGTCAATGGGTTGATATACTTTCAGAAGGTACTAATTTACACTGTGTGACCATTTTGTAACTTCTTTTTATCTTTCTTTCTAGTGTTGGTTAATTCATTAAATTTTGCCCAGCCCTAGTCACAATTTTGATAGTAGCCCTATTTGTTTTATAGCACACAATCGCAATTCCAGCAACAGACTGGCATACTCTCCATTTCTGCCAAATACAGTTTACCAACGGCTACTATCGCTTTTATACCTCAGGAAGAGTTATTGTGTTGCAATATGGTGTCATTATTTTGCCAGATTTTTAAATGGTTTCAAGACATCTTAATCTGGGTTTAAAGTGGGTGGAAAACAGTGCCAGTTTTGAAGTTTATGTGGTTAAGAGTCTGTGCTGCCCTGAGGTGAGTTTGGCAGCCACGGCACCTAAATGAGCGGTTGCTAAATGAAGCTACGCTGGAAAGG